TTTGCGCAGGAGTATCAGATGACACAACAAATTTGCCCAATGAACTGAAATCATTCTGGGAACTTGAAAGCATAGGAATTACTGACTCTTGTGCACAAACGAAAAAAAAAAAAAGTAAAGAAGTCATCAGCACGTTTTCGGCATCGATCAAAAAAACTGACGAGTACTATGAAGTGGCTTTACCATGGAAACCTGTCAACATTCGTCTCGCTGACAACAAAGCAAATGCCGAAAAACGTTTGATGAGCCTCACGAAGAAACTACTGAAAGATTAGACGACACTCATCGAGAATGACGCAACTATACGTCAGTACTTAGATCAAGGCTTTGCAGAACGACTTCCATAGGAAGAAATCCCCAGCGACGAAGGTAGAGTTTAATACATGCCTCACCGCCCTGTCTTCCGACCTGATAGCCTTTCTACCAAGCTTAGGGTCATACTTGATGCATCGTCTAGTGACACGGCATATCTCTGAATGAAGCCCTGGAGCCAGGGCCTAACTTGAACCCAAACTTACTGAAGGTGTTAGTTCATATTGGACTTATTGGAGATATTGAGAAGGCATTCCTGCAAGTTTCAGTGACACCATCATATCACGATGCCCTTCGGTTGTTGTGGTATGAGCACTTTCCTACAAAACAAGACCCATATCCTGTGATAGAAATTTGGAGAATGAAACGAGTGCCCTCCGGTGTGAAAAGCAGCCCATTCCTTCTCGCAGCCACAGTGCGTCATCATTTCTTGACTATTAAGGGTGATTCACACATTGCAAAAACCATCAGTGAGAGCCTGTACGAAGACGACCTAATGACAGGAACGGAGACGGAAGACGACGCTGTGAACTTCTACCGAGGCGCACTCGACGTCATGAATCTAGCGAGCATGACACTGCGCAAGTGGAATTCGAATTCTAGAAAAGCTGGGATAACTGTTCAACGATGAAGGAACCGGATGTGCCCTGAGCTGCATTGAGTGTCTGACAACAAGTGTCTCACGGGTCCTCGGACTTGTATTGGACAAGGATAGAGATCATCTGGCGTTTTCTCTGGAGGCCATCTTGGACTTTTTGGATCAAAACAGCAACACCAAACGAATCATGATGCAGGCATCAGCTTGTATCTATGACCCGTTTGGTCTAATTTCTCCAGTCACAGTGACAACCAAACTTATGTTCCAAACACTGTGGGAACTGGGTATTGAGTGGGACGCTCCTCTACCCGAAGACGTCAAGAATTGTTGGACGCAGTGGCACACTCAGTTACACTATCTAACGGACCTAACAGTGCCAAGACGATACAGTGTCTTGCCCAATGACAGCTGGAAGGAAGTGCATATTTTCACTGATGTGAGCCCCAAAGCATACGGTGCTTTTGCGTATTTACGCACACATGGAATCAACGAAGCCACGGTGACTCTCGTTCTTTCAACGTCTCGAGTAGCACCGATAAAAAAATTGCCTCTTTCTAGACTAGAATTGATGGGCATGGTTATAGGTTCTCGATTAAAGGAATGCTTGGAACAATCATTGGGTCGCCCTATAGACAGATGGCACATGTGGACAGACTCATCTATTGCACTACATTGGGTACGAGGTCCCCCCGACAATAGAAGCCCTTTGTCGCCAACCGAGTTTTGGAAATTCAGCAGAGAACGGATCCAGAGCTCTGGAATCACTGTCCAGGCAGTGAAAATCCTGCCGACCTCCTGACAAGGGGAGTCCACCTAAAGTACTTAGGGCATGCTCAGTGTGGTGAAACGAGCCTGCCTGGCTTGCACAGCCACCTCCTTGCTGGCCAAATCATGAATACACCGCTGACATGACGATGGCCGAGGAGGAAGAAAAGACATTTTGAGTTCACAACGGGACTGAGTGAATCCATATTACCTCTGCAAAAATACAGCACCCTCTCTAAACTGTTGGAGTTATTGCCTGGTACTGCAATTTGTTCACAAATTCAAGAACCCCTATGAGAAACATGATGGGCCTCTTACCACAGACGAAGTTCAAGACGCACACACTTATTTGATACTTCAGACACAATTAGAAGCTTTCCGAAATGAACTGCAATGTCTTTCCCGCTCAATACGCATGCCAAGTGACTCCCTGATACGAGATCTAGGAGTCTTCTGCGACGAGGTTGTTTCAAGAGTAGGAGGAAGCCTGAATGCTGCCGAGGTGTCCTACACCGTTAAACATCCGATTATCCTTCCCTTGAGGCATCCCATCCCAGAGCTCGTCATCTATGCAGCTTACCGTCGCCTCCTGCATGGTGGAACTCTAGAGACCCTCACCGAATTGAGAGAGAGGTACTGGATAGTGTGAGGAAGGCAAATGGTGAAAAGGCACTAAGAAAATGTGTGACATGCAATCGTTTCAACAGCCGTGCGACTACTGCACCAGTCACTCCTCTGCCTTGTGAAAGGGTAACACAAGCACCACCCTTTGATGTAACAGGTGTTGACATTGCTGGGCCACGGAACAGCAAAAGATCAAGGAGGCAACAGGAAGTCTTACAGCGTCATTTTCACATGTGCTGTTACGCGAGCAATACACCTTGAAATGGTGACTGACATGTCGACCCCTAACTTTCTGATGGCCTTCCGAAGATTCATCTCGAGGAGGGGGTCTGTCGAGTCATTTTTTCAGATAATGCTAGGACTTTCAAGCGTGCTTCTAAGGATCTACAGAGACTGCGGACCACGATACAAGGAGAAGACATGTAGAATTTATTCTCAAACTACCAGATCCGCTGGAACTTCATGATTGAAAAAGCAGCTTGGTGGGGCGGATTCTGGGAGAGAGTGGTTCATTCTGTGAAAGCATCTCTGAAGAAAGTCTTGGGAAACAGCTACTGCAGTTTCAAGGAGCTTAAGACAATACTAATTGAAATCGAAGCTATCCTCAACTCTCGACCCCTGACCTACGTCTACACAGACATGAACGAACCCAAACCTCTAACACCGTCTCATTTCCTGATAGGTCAGAGACTCAACTCTTCCTGATAGCCGCTCCATTGTTGAAGTCACCTATAAATCTCGTGAACTCACTCGTCGCTGGCACTACCGACAAAGAATTACCGACCCGTTTTGGCATCGATAGCAGAGAGAGTACTTCAAGAGTCTCCGATCAGCACATTTCTCTGTGACAAATTCATCAAGTGCACTAAAGCAAGGAACCCTCGTCTTATTTGATAAACATCATCTGCCGGGGCAGCTCTGGAAAACCGAAGAAGTGGCCGAAGTTCTTCTAGGGCGTGATGGGAAAATCATTGCCTGCATGGTGTGCATGCCGAACGAAGCCACGTTGAGAATACCAGTTCAACTCTTATACCCCATGAAATACATGGACGAATGACCAGAGGCTCATTCCGGGGGGAGTATGAAGAAACTGCCAAGTTCAGCCTTTTTCTTTTTGCCAAATGGCAACCTTGTATTCTCCCGACCTCCCTCAGCAACGAGCATTCCCATCGAAATAAAATTAGTTCTTTTGTTTAACTAAAACGAAGCAGTCTGTTTTTTTCTGATCTGCGATAGTTTCCTCAACATGTGTTTGTAAAGCATGAAAGCTACTTTCACTGCATTTCCAAGCAGAGGAAGTTATTTTCCCTGTATTTACAAGCAGACGTGTGGCTATGTGGTAGAACATCCACTTGCCACGTGAATGACATGAAATTTTTTTATTACTTATTTTATTATTTGTATCATTAATTATTTTTCGGACATGTATAAGATCATGCTTTTTCGCTCACAGCCAATGACGTCAATGACTGCAATGACACCAAAATTTCTGCAAAACAAGCTCTTTAATGCTATCGCATGAACATGGCACGCGTATTCGTCACCACCACCATGTATGCACAGACTGTTCACCCCAAAAAAGTGCACAAATGCCAAGGCGAATTCAAACAATGTGAAGCACATAGGGTTAACTGCATGCATTTTCAGGTAAAGATTGCCCGTGGATAAGCTTTAGTCTATGGGAAACGGCACAAAAAGCAGGTGCATCCAAAAAACAGTAGGGAGGGGAAGATGGACACCTGTAATGAACAATCCATTGTGTCGAGCCGACGCTCTTACAAGCGGACTTGTCTTCCTCAAGGCTGGAACAGAACTGTCCTGTTCTAGCGTTGAGGAAGACAAGTCCACTTGTCGAAAAGTCGGCTCAAACGCACAACCATTGTTTCTAGATTTTTCATCATAAATCAGGTAGTGAGGTCACTACAGTTAAAAATCTTTTGAAGCAGTTGCGAGCATCGTTTCTATTTTTTGGTACAGAACACTTATTTGCAGTCTTGTCACTCCATAACATCCACCTAAATCTAAGCACACAGGCCTCTAGTATTTCAGCTCCATTGAAATGCAACAGCCACAGCTGGGATTCGATATCACGAACACGTCCCTTATGAAAATGTTCACCCTCTTCTTATAAAATACTACTTTAATGCTTGCAAACAAGAATCATATTGTTACGTGAATGACGAGTTGGTAGACTGTAGTCTGCCAACTGTTTGCACAATATGTTTAAAATAGCCGTTGCAGTGCTGATCGGTACAGCTCAGAAAGCGAACGGCGACAGAGCTTCGTCCTCTTCGTCAGGCACCCATGCACAAGGTATCTGATATTGGCAATATGCGTGTACGATTATCATCCATGTAACACATTAGTGCAGTACATTGTGACCTCAACTGAGGAAAGCATGAGAGATGACGATGTGGAAAATTTTTCAAGCAGACAGGATAGCAACAACATTAGTATACATATCAGTGAGTGAGTTTGAATACTAAATATGTGATAAGACCAGCTACCATAAATGGTAATCTTAAACTTGCTTTCGTATTTCGAGCAAGTTGCTGAAAAGCTTCTTGCCATAAAGAAACTGAGCCAACATCGTTATAGAAGTGAGCCTACCGTGGGTCAATTTGATAGACATAAACCTGTAAGGGGGATCAGGACAGAATATAACCGCTCAAAGAATGTCGCCTAGGGGACAGTGTCTAACCTTTTTTGACTTCAGTGGCAGGGTCACCATTTTGCACAAGACCTGTAGAGTGCAAAGCGTTGGCCACAATTGGCATCTTGAAGTCTCGCAGAAGTTCAGGTTCAACAAATGTCTCGTCCAGGTCAATGCGCTTACTCTGCGTTGACAACAGCGAGTCATCCAAACGAGCCTGAGACAGTTCCTTTTTCCTTGATGTGCTGGATGACCTGGTTGCTGGCACCATACTGCGGTTGACCGGAGATGAAGTACCTGTAAAAAAGTAAAGAGACATTGGGTAGCATAGTGTAGTGTTCTGAAGGGGCTTTCAACATGCTGTTTTTCACCTCTTCATGCTTGTGAAATGAGCGGCCCAAACTGGGACATGCTCATACAGGCGCCACCATGTTCCAGTCTCTTTTTATGAGTGGAGTCTTGACACTGAAGAATAAAGCAATTTCAAACGACAAAATGCCCTCTCAGAAAAAAAAAACGATAAAAAAAGGACAAGTGTTCTATGTCCATGCTTTTTGCTGTTTATTTCCATGCAGGTAGACGTCCTCATTTCAAGTGTTCTGTGTCTTCCACTTTGTAGCTTACCATCTAGCCCACGGCTTCCTATTGAGTATGTCCCAATTTGCAATGCTAATTACAGCTAGATCTCAACATACTTAAAACTATGCACAGGACTAAATACACTTGGCGTTCAAAAAATAATGCATGCAGCACATTGTGTGTTGCCTCTTAAAGTCCGCGTCCTCTGCACTGCACGTGATTTTATTTACTCATAACCAGCTAGTTCGAGCAAGCATGTTGGTCTACTTTGCAAGGCAGCGCAACAATAAACATTTTTCAGTTAATGCCCAAGGCCAAAGTAGAAGCAAACCACGCAGCCTTCTGAATGCTTCAACAACTTTTTCCACGCCCAGTTTCAGTTTCATTCTACTATATTGTGACACACAAATATGGTAAGGTGGCCGCAGAAGAATCTGATATTCAACAACTTGGTTTAACTCACTCGTTTATCTGCTGAGTGACTAGATAAGCCCTCACCAGGAGCAGCACCATAGGAAGTGGCCAAGCAAGATCATGACAGCCTTCAATCAAATGCTGTGCAAACAAACCACTACCATTATTGTAAATGTAAAGAACGTCAATACAGCGCATAACCAAATGCAGTAAATCTAGCAGACTCTTACGTAATGTCTCTAATGAATAATATATGTTATGTCACAGGTAATTTCGTTATAAAGTCTACGTGAGGTCAGCCTGGTAAAAAAAATAGTTACGCACGTTGGATACATGCCTCTAATGAATCCACTAAAGAGTGTTTGGCTAACTGAGGGGCTTGAATAGAAAAACAGCTTTGAGGTTTAATAGGATGCATTACTGGGCAAGTTGGTGCATTGTCTGACAATAAAAATAGTGTGCAAAGTGATGGAACACAGCCATCTGCTTGTCTCCTGTGTCCCATCATTTCATGCTTTACTTTTGCTTTCAGACAGTGCTTTTTAGTTATTTGGCGCATCCTGGCTGACTTCTGTAAAATGCTGAGCAGGCACTCTCACCTTTGCAAACAGCCTCTGCGATTTCACTGCTAATTTAAAATTCTTCTACTGTTTTTGAAAAATGCTCCTCCTCCTCGCCCCACCCCCTCCTGAAAATCATGCAACACTGACTTGCTTGAAAACCATTCGATTTGATCACTCAATCTCTTGAAGCCAACAATATTGCCACAGGAAATTACCATTGCTCCCACAACGCGGACGTTGGGAACCAGAGAAATGCTAACGGCACGACTACGAGCGACGAAGCTAGCCACAATGCACGAGCCGGCCCTGCATGCGCCCGGTACTCCGCCGAACAGACAACGCGCATGAAGAAGAAGAGAACGAGGGTGCTCGAGGCAGAGGCTCACGAGGACTACCACCCTTGGATCTTAATTGCTGTGCGTCGTTCACTTTGGGCACAAGTTCGCCCTTAATAAACCGTGTAAATAGAACATCGTTGTTGTGAGGCTGTACATTCGTTGCATCTTCTGGTGGAGGTGCTGGGTAGATGATTCCAACCCCCACGAGAGAGCGGAGTTCAAGCCCTGACCATCCGCAAGCCGTGGAGCTTACGCCGGTGCACCAACAAACCAGTCGCCGCATTCGAGGGGATTCACCAGAATTTCGACCACTTTCCCCTGTACCAAGGGCATCAGCGACGGAAACAAGAAACGCCACCACCATGACCAGCCAAGTTGCACCATCACAGCTCATTGTCAGCCAGCCCGTCATACCGAAGGTGTTCCATGGTGACCCGTTCGAGGACGCCGAAGACTGGCTGGATCATTTCGAGGGGGTGGCGAACATAAACCAATGGAACGAAGCAGGCAAGTTGCGCAACGTATACATCTCTTTGGAAGACACTGCGCGAGTGTGGTACAAAAACCACGACGCATCTTTGACGTCCTGGGAAGAGTTCCGGGCGGCAGCTACTGTGTACGTTTGGCAACAATGATCGCCGGAAAAAGGCAGAAGCAGCTCTTCGTGCACGGAATCAACGCACAAATGAGACTGTGGCTATGTACATAGAAGACATGTCCCGCCTGTTCAAGCAAGCTGATCCCAACATGACTGAAGACAAGAAGGTGCGTCATCTCATGCATGGGGTAAAACAAGAGCTGTTCGCGGGACTTGTTCGCAATCCGCCGCGCACTGTTGCTGAGTTTCGGTCGGAAGCAACAACAATAGAAACGACCCTGCAGCAGAGAGCCCGGCAATACAATCGTGACATAACCTGTACACCAGAAAGGGTCTTCTCGGCACACGTTGTTGATAATCTTGACACTCTGCGGGAGCTCGTCCGGTCAGTTGTCAGGGAGGAACTACGCAAGCTGCAGCCACCCGCTTCACCGGAACTGTCTATTGCGGATGTTGTCCGAGAAGAAATTCGGCAGGCCATACGGGAGCCACAAAGGGATGCACCACCGATACGGCGCCCGGTAACTTATTCTGAGGTGCTCAGGCGGCCTGCTGTCCACTGAGCGCCTATCGAGACACCTCGTACTTACGCACCGACAACACGTAGCCCGCCCCATATCGTAGAAGCAACACGTAGCCCGCGCCATATCGTAGAGGCAACTCGCAGCGCACCTCTTCCGACAGAGACAAGACCTCGGAAAAGCGATGTATGGCGAGATGCAGAACGTAGGCCCCTGTGCTTCCACTGTGGAGAGGCTGGCCATCTTTACCGGTTTTGCCGAAATCGTCAAGCTGATCTTCGAGGATTTGCGGTCAACGCACCGTGTCCGCGAAATGGCAAAAAGCCGTCCGACATCGAGGAATACCTGTGCTCACGTCAGAGCTTCCACCTGCATCGTCGTCACCAACCGCGGTCACCATCCCCTCTACGTCAGCGCTCACCAAGCCCACGTTCCTTCCCAAACGCACCTAGGCATCGTTCGCCTGGTCCAAACCCAAGAAACTGAAGTGGGCGACCTGTGGAGGCGAGGCCGCTGGTGATTCGAAATACGAAGATCCTCCACTACGACACCAGCATGACGACGACGACGACTGTCTCCAGGTAAAGAAGTGCAGTAATGAGAAGATAACTTCAGACTTGCCGTTGGTAATTGACAGGCTAGAGCTCATGGCTTTAATCGATACCGGTGCGGATTACTCTGTGATAAGTTACGATTTAGCGAAGTGCCTCAGGAAAGTACTGACCGAATGGAGTGGACCTCAAGTACGTACGGCAGGCGGTCACCTTATTACGCCTCTCGGCAGATACGCCGCAAGAATTGAAATACGAGGTTTCACTTATGTTGGTGACATTGTTGTCTTGCCCGTATGTTCGAGAGAAGTTTTACTCGGAATGGATTTTCTGCAAGCAAATGGTGCCATTATTAATTTGCAGAGGTCCAACGTATCATTTTCGACAGAACAAGCTATAAAGGTAGCTCGAACAGACGAGCAATACACCACTCCACTGCGCATTGTCGATGATGATGTGACTGTACCGCCGCAGAGCAGTGTAATGGTTCTAGTCAGAAATCATACGTTTGGTGACTACGAAGGTGTGGCAGACAGCAACATGGATGTTTTCCTGAAAAGAGGTGTTTGTGTGGCACGAGGAATTATCCAGCTACGAAACAGGTACGCAGACGTCCTCCTGACAAATTTTGGGAACGAATTCCAGCACATCGCAAAGGGGGCAGCCATAGCCTTTCTTCATGAGGTTTGTGAAGCCACAGAAATATGCAGCCTTGAAACAACGTCAACGGATATGAAACCAACATCCGATGTCTGCGGCGTAATATCCGTAAATCCTAATCTTTCAGTGATCCAACGTCAACAGCTATACGACCTTGTACGGGAATTTGGCAGCTGTTTCTCCAATAGTTCAAAGGTACGACGCACAACCATTGCAAAACACAGGATCGTAACAGACGAGACAACCAGGCCGGTACGACAGCACCCGTACCACGTTTCACCAAAAGAAAGGGAAGTCATTAGGAATCAAGTACAAGAGATGCTTGAAGATGATGTTATTCAACCTTCTAGCAGTTCATGGGCATCTCCTGTAGTACTTGTCAAGAAGAAGAATAACACGCTAAGGTTTTGCGTCGACTACCGGAAATTAAATGCTGTGACTAAACGGGATGTATATCCCCTCCCGCGTATTGACGACACATTAGACAGACTTCGGTGTGCCAAGTTCTTTTCATTACTAGATCTGAAAAGCAGATACTGGCAGATTGAAGTTGATGAACGTGATCGCGAGAAGACTGCTTTTGTTACCCAGGACGGACTCTATGAATTCAAGGCTCTCCCTTTTGGTCTTTGTTGTGCGCCGGCAACGTTCCAACGCATGATGGACACTGTACTTTCCGGATTGAAGTGGCAGTGTTGCTTAGTGTACCTTGACGACGTGGTCAACTTCGCCGCTACATTCGAGGAGCATATCAGGCGCCTGCGAACAGTGTTAGAAGCAATCCGTTCGGCAGATTTAACCATCAAGCCAGAGAAGTGCCAATTCGGTTTCGAAGAGCTTCGATTCCTTGGGCATGTTGTCAGCGCCCACGGTGTGCGCCCTGATCCCGAAAAGACAGCCGCTGTTGCAAGGTTCCCGGTGCCAGCAAACAAAAAGTCAGTACGGAGATTCCTAGGTCTCTGTACTTACTACCGACGATTTGTCAGAAATTTCTCGCAGATTGCAGAACCCTTGACGAAACTTATGAGAGAAGATGTACCTTTCCAGTGGGAAACAGAGCAACAAAGCGCCTTCAACGAATTAAGAAAACGGTTGCAAGAGCCCCCAATCCTTTCTCATTTCGATGAAACAGCTGACACGGAAATACACACAGACACCAGCAACATTGGCCTAGGATGCATCCTAATACAGTGGCAGAATGGCGAAGAAAAGGTGATAGCATACGCCAGCCGGACTCTAACAAAGGCGGAGACCAATTATTCGGCCACAGAGAAAGAATGCCTTGCTGTCATCTGGGCCATCAGTAAGTTTCAGCCTTACTTGTATGGTAGACCACTCAAGGCAGTCAGCGATCACCATGCCCTTTGCTGGCTCGCCAACCTCAAAGACCCGTCCGGACGACTAGGAAGGTGGAGCCTGAGACTGCAAGAATTTGACATAACTGTGGTATACCGATCTGGCAGGAAGCATACCGACGCCGACTGTTTGTCACGGGCACCTGCAGACACAGCACTATCAGATGAAAAGGACTTTCCATTCGTGGCTGTTGTCGACACTTCTCAGATAGCTGAAATTCAACATGCTGACGAAGAATTGCTCCCGCTCATCAAACACCTGAAAGGAGCTAACGTACATGTACCTTGTATATTTTTCTCGAAGCCTCGCATTGTTCTGCCTCCGAAGAAATGTCCTCTACAAGAGAAACTTTGAGCCCAACCGTGAAAAGTTTCTGCTTGTCGTTCCCGCAACTATGCGGCAAGAAATATTACAAGCGTGCCACGATGAGCCAACGTCTGGACATTTGGAGGTCACTCGAATGCTTGCACCAATCAGTCAGCACTATTATTGGCCCAAGCTATTGTCTTAAGTACAGTATTGTCTTAAGTATTGTCTTAAGTGTTCTATGTCAGAACATGCCGCGAGTGCCAAAGACAGAAAGCGCCTCGTGCTAAGCCAGCGGGCATTTTGCACTCGATAGACCCGCCGAAAGCACCCTTCCAACAAGTTGGAATGGACCTCCTTGGACCATTCCCGACATCTTTACTTGGCAAGAAGTGGATCGTTGTAGCGACTTATTATTTAATGAGATACGGGGAAACAGACTCCTTGCATCGAGGAACGGCAGGTGAGGTCGCCAAATTTTGTACAGAGCATAGTGCTACGGCATGGCGCTCCAACTGTTGTAAACACCGATCGCGGACCGGCTTTCATGGCAGAACTCATGGAATGCCTGCTGAACATGACCCACACTGTTCACAGGAAAACTACCGCATATCACCCTCAAACCAACGGCCTGACTGAACGCCTTAACAGAACTCTAGCTGACATGATATCTATGTATGTGGACGTCGAACACAAAAAGTGGGACGAAATTTTACCATACGTCACCTTCGCCTATAACACCGCCATACAAGAGACTACCAAGATTACCCCGTTTCAACTAGTTTACGGTCGTGTAGTTACCACAACACTGGACGCTATGTTACCTATAGATCAAGATGACTGCCCTTCTGATCTCGATGACTATATAGAGAGAGCGGAGGAGGCCCGCCAATTAGCAAGGTACCGAATATGTCACCAACAACGAATCGATGTCGACCGCTACAAGCGAGGAAGACGAGAAACACGGTATGAAGTTAGTGACAAAGTGTGGATATGGACCCCAGTACAACGACGAAGCCTGTCTGAAAAACTCATTTGTCGATATTTCGGTCCTTACGAGGTAGTACAGTGACTCAGCGACCTCATTTATGAAGTCAAGCCTACAGGACATGGGCATTCTAAACGACGCAACCCCACCGAGCGTGTACACATTGTGCGCATGAAACCGTACTACGACCGGTACGAAGACTAGCCACCCCACTTGCTTGCTGTACAACCATTTCACTCTTACAAATCTTCCGAGACGGAAACGCTGCATACATTATCATCGAAAGCATCGGGGCGATGCCTCTTGAGAGGGGGGATAATGCCACAGGAAATTACCATTGCTCCGCGCAACGCGGACGTTGGGAACCAGAGAAACGCTAACGGCACAACTACGAGCGACGAAGCCAGCCGCAATGCACGAGCCGGCCCTGCATGCGCCCGGTACTCCGCCGAACAGCCAACGCGCGTGATGAAGAAGAGAACGAGGGTGCTCGAGGCAGAGGCTCACGAGGACTACCGCCCTTGGATCTTGATTGCTGTGCGTCGTTCACTTTGGGCACAAGTTCGCCCTTAATAAACCGTGTAAATAGAACATCGTTGTTGTGAGGCTGCTACATTTGTTACAATATCTCTTCCTTTCTTTATTTTATTTTTTTTGTATAGTGCCAGCACAATTACTTATCTACTAATATTGGTGTTCCTCAACGATCCATTTTGAGATCGCTTCTATTTTAGATTTATCTTAATGATCTTCCTAACTGTTTGTCCTTCACTAATTCCATTTTGTATGCCGATGACACTATCATATTTACTTCTGACAAAAGCATTACACTTCTCGTTGACAAGCTAAGCACTGACTTGGAAAACGTTTCAAGTTGGTGCAGTGTTAGCTTGTTAACTATTAATGCAACCAAGACTTAAACTAGTCTTATTTTCATCGCATCAAAAATTTTCAGCATCCTTCCCTTCTTTGACTTTTGGCTCACACTTTATTTCTCCCAGTCCCTGCTTATCTTTTCTTGGAATTTTTCTTGAGTACTACTTGAAATACATAGATCATATTTCTCACATCAAAAAGAAAGTAGCATACAATACCCACATTCTAATTAAAACTCCTTCATACTTCACAAGTGCCACACTACTGTCACTCTACTACTCATTCGTTCATTCTCATATTAATTATGGCATAATGTGCTCAAATAACACCTATAACACTCATTTGGGTTCCCTAGAAGTACTACCGAACCAATCCATACCTATCGTTAATAATCATTCACGTTTTTCCAACGGTAAATTCCTACTTCATGATAACATCATCTTAACCATCTCAGCGCTCCTCAGCTACAACTTAGGCATCACATTCTATAAATCCATAACCAAGGCACTATCTCCAATCTGCTTCTCATCTTCTGACCTTGTTCCCTATAGTAATACTAGATTTGCACGTAACAATAACCTTCTTTTGCCTAAGATACAAACTAATTATGGTGAACTTACTACTGAATTTTCATCCATATCATTTTGGAACACACTACCAGCTTCTATAAAAAGTGCAAGAAACTTTCATCAATTTAAGACAAACTAAAATTACACATTATGCATGCTTAGTATTACAGTTTCTTTCCATAGCTTCACCTTGTTTCTATGTCCACATTTCATGTATTACAACTTTTTGTATTCTTTTTCAATTATACTGCTTGCATTATTCATCACTTCATATTGTTTTATTGTGTATATTTTGTCTTCATTTAGTGTGTCATATACATGTGTGTGTATTGTATGTGTGTGTTTGTGAGCGTGTGTGTGTGTGTGTTCCGGTGTAAATGTGTTTAGTATAATTTTAATTATTGCTCATGTTGCCTCTAACACTGTTTTACCATAATTTGCCCTTAACAGGAGGTTCCGATATGGTCTTTGACTTTGGAACCTCCTTTTGTATACTAAACACATGTAACATTCTTGCATTCATATCAATAAAAATCTGAAAATCTGAAAAAAATCTGAAATCTGAAACCATGTACTTAGAGCAATACACACATTATAATTTTGTGGGCACGGAAAGCTTATACTCATGATGATTTTGTGGGCACAAAAACGTTATGGAAAATGGTAGATTTGGCTAACTGATATTGGTTCATTACTTCCCCTGTGTTTGCAAGACAACCAATGCTCACATGAAATGCACTTACACAAGACCCAAACGAGCAGCAACAAAGCTTACAAAAGCTCACAAAGGCGCACCTGTCAGACAGCTTGGTCTGCTTCTTTCGCTTTGCTCGGCTAGTGGGCTGAACCATGAACACTTCAGCAGGCTCAGCTGGCGAGGCACAATGCTTCCTCAACAGGGAAAGTTTTCCGTTATCTCGTTGCACCTGCTTGCGAGGCAAGTCATTGTCACGTATGATCACATCACTGGCAGGTGGGCATGAAGGGTACATTTCTTTCACGGCATCGCTTGTACAAGGGTCCGACACACTCCTCGGTTTAGCAAATGCATCCAGCAGACTGGGCGACCTGTTGCCATCATCCGCTACAGACTGCAGGACGGCGACAAGGCATTTCCCGTGCGGGAGTCACGGTCGACAAGGCATTGGAGGGCGCATCCTCGTCGATGTCCCAAATCTCGCGTGGTGATGCAAGGCGAGTGACTTTGTCCTGTTGGAGAAGGCTAGGAGATTCTTCTGAGTCAGCAACAACGAGATTGTCTTCCCGCTCATTTACAACTAAAAGGCTCACTTCCTTGTTGGTTAATTCAGCTTCCATTTCTTCTTCCTTCACAAAATTGTTGTTTGGCACTTGTTCTACAGCTTGTCTCGATTGAACGAAACCCTCATTGCTGTCTTCCTCTACGACTGCTGAATGCTGCGGCTGGTATGTTGCAATTTCATCATCAGCACGGCCATCATAGAGCTCACATTCCAACGTCTCCGGCACAGTCTGCACCGCAGCATGTGGCAGAATATCCCTGGCCTTTGCTGCTTGTCGCATCCGTGCACCTAAATGCCTCCGGAGCTTCTTTGTAGTCGAAAGACTTCTCAGGGCTGGCAGGAGAGGGGGGCACGAGGCAGCTCGTGTGCCCCAGTGAGTCATCTTGCAGAATTGAGTCCCACAGTTTGGGACTAACTGTGCCATCGAGAAGTTGCAGCCTGTACTCGCTCGACGTGCCATTCTTGTCTGCTCGCAGTGAAGAGCCATTCCCAATGGGGCTGGCATTTCTGTTTGTGAGAAAGGGGTTATGGAAGCATAGATTTTGCATTCTCACAAGTTAAATCAACAAAGACTGACACATCATACAATTCTAGGACAAATAAAAAACATTTCTACAGTATCGCAGAGAGTTTCTCACGAAATCGCCTAAAGAAAAATCTGGTGCTAGTGAGCTGCTGCATGCAAGGGAATTCCAGGATATGTGGGCTTCAAACAAGACTCTGATTTGTATAACCTAAAGATGCGTCTGGCTTCACATGAAAATGGTCAATTTCTTACTAAGGAGCATGTAATAAGCTGTTTGTTTTTTGTCATTGCAAATGAACGTGTTTTATTTAACACTAGGAACCTTCTGCGTCAATGTACAATTTCACAAAGCGTAAGAAGCAACCAACGGGCGCTAAACGGCAAGCAAACGACAAAGCAAGCGTTCCTTCTGCCACTTTACTGTCGTCTATTTTTTTTCTTTAGCCATTTGATTGTTGCATCAAAGTGAGGGGGCAATTATTTTAGAATATAATACACGTGGATGAGACACGCTTCTAAACATTTTGTTTTAAAGAAGCTTTATTTACGCAGTCGTATTCACTTTTGAGCGAAGCCTCACTCAATACCGGCCAACACAAGCCTTGCAGACACATATACCGTCCTTCCCAGTGCTCCAACGGGACCCCTTAAGAAATTTAAGACCCCTTAAGAGGAAACCACATAAGAGACCCCTTAAGAGGAAACCCCTTAAGAGGAAACCACATTTCCCTCTATGTATTTTGTGAGAAACTCTATGCAGTATCAGAAAAGATTTGTGCAAGATGGCTCCGAATCGCTGGATGTTTTAATAGATTCTCGTCCATGAAAAAGCAGGTTCTAGCAAATTTTCGCAAGAGATCATACGTATAACTCGGAAAATGCCATGACTTTCAGTCTCCAACACATTTTGATAGACCTTTTAGCATCAGACAACACAAAATATCTAGCTTCACTGCTTTTATATTCACAACAAAGATATGTTCTACAACTGTTATGTAAAAAATTTAATATTTATGACAAATTGCATGCACTTATCCTATCCTTTGTCTACTGTTACATGGAAACACTGACACTCAGGCAAAACAACATTTTTAGTCGAATAAGTTCACAGAAAACTCATTCTCACTCAATTTGAGACTGCATGCGATTTTTATGATGGAAAACACTTAACCTTTGAGCATTTTTGCCTCACACGTACAGCAGTGGTTTCCTGTCCCTCCCCCCCCTCCCTCCCCCCCCCTCCCAAGTTTTTGCCGTTTGAGGTCAAGTTTTCGATGCTCCGCTTGAAATTTCATACCGTAATGATGATGCATGCTCTTGGGAGGTACTGCCAACTCCTAGGACTTAAAGCGAGAGTTGGAATTGACCGTGCCACTGTCTTGCAGAAATAAACAGAACTGATGCATAGTGCCAGCCCATTATGTGGTCTGCAGCAACGACGATGGAGAACGTCTCTTTGCGGTTTCTGTTTTGCCATATGATCAAAACGGAGCCACACGAAACCCGATTTTACCTTTAACGCCACTGCCTTGCAGCGCCAGAGGAAGTAAATTTTCTTCTTTATTGGCGCTGCTCTTAGCTTGCTTATCACCAACACTTACAAGGTATTCTCGTTCTTGTTGATTAGCAAGCTTACTCTGCCAAAGGCAGCCACACGCAGACAAAATGCTGTGTGTTTGTCAGCACAACTCATCACTTCAAGAAGAGAACGAAGACACACGTTATGTGTGCAAACGACGATAAGAAGCTGTGCATAGACCCGTGTTGCAAGACATACAATCAGTTCTGAGTAATCCTGACACGAAGTAACTGTTCTTCATTTTATGTACAGTTCTTGCCCGACTTTACATGTTTCGAACACTAAATAATCGCAATAAAGTAATTTGACCATGTTAGGAAATCTTTTTCTTTTTTTCGGAAAAATTCAACTCAACGCGCTATAAAACTGCCTGAGGCCCATGATTTTCTCATATGTTTATAAATACCTATCTTGCTTAATTACAAATGAATTGGTGACGTTTCACAGCACTAACATTACGTTATCTTCATGACATATGAGAGAAATGACATTACTAGTTACATTCAAGCACCATTGAGCATCACAAACAAGGACAACACAAAAGAGCACACGTGAGCATGCATACTTAGTGATTGCTAGTTGGCAAGTAATGTCATTTAGTAATGTTGTCACTATTATGGCTAGTAAGTTAGTAACAATACATAGTCGGCTAAACTTGTGAAGAAGTGAAGCAAGATGCCAGTAGTGTTCAACAAATCAAGATTATACATTTGGCTGGTCTGTTTACTGAAATGCACAACTGTTTTCAAAGCTGTAACCCAAGCACACAGAGCTCTCATCTGTACTCTCAAGGTATCCAAACAAGTCTACAAGCTGACTGGTTGTCAATAACTATGATAACTCTCAAGAAAAGACTGCTAATTCTATCAAGTTTACATACAGCACTAAATATGGAGAAAAAAACATTGAAGTGAAAAATAAGGACCAAACAAAGAGAAAATGAGGATGAACACGTGCTCACACTGAAAGCTTTACGAATTGCAGATTGAAACTGTGCACATCAATTTACCTCATTTTCTAGAAAAACAATCCCTCAAGAATTCTTGCAGAAGTTACGTACAGCAGATTTTCAATAATTTTGGACATCTGTCACAGTGGAGCAGGGGTTACAGTGCTTGGCTACTAAACTAAAGGTTCGGTCCCTGCACCGGGGTATCTTTTCGAAGGTGAAATGTTTCGACCAGATCCTCGAAATTTTCAGAGCTCTCCGCTATAGAGTCTCTCATAATCACGTCGTAGTTTTGGGAAGTAAAGTACCACGTATCGTTGGAAACCTGCTAATTCGAACCTAGAGATAAACTGAACAGGCCAGCTAGTCCTGGCACACTTTTGAATACCTGAATAGAATAAATCTTACCTCAAAACTAAATTCTAAGTATCCTCTATTGGGTGTCTCAAAAAATGTTTATCACATCTACTGACAGCCTCTGAAGAAAATATTTTATTATCGCCGCGACGTGTCTTCATAGCTGGCAAAATTATACGTGTGAGAAGACAAAGTAGTATACAAAGTTACCAGCCATCTTAGCAAGCCTGAGTCCTGACCTTCCTACTTGCTGCAGATTACCCAAAAGATGCACTTCAGTTCGGTGCTAGTGGCTAATCTCCATCCATGATGGCTTCCACATCACATTCACTGGAAGGCATTCTACAATAGAACTGCCGCAGTCTTGCCAAAAAAGTGGGAGAGCTAAGCCAGCATCTCAAATATGAGAAGCTGCGTGCATGGGCTTTGCTTCTGCAGGAATCTAATGGCCTGCCATCCATATCTGGTTATGTAGCGTACCTTTCACCTTCAATGTTAGATCGCTGGTACTCTACGCCAGATGTTCCCCCTGGAAAGGTAGCAGTTTATGTGCGATCCACTTTTCATCAAACTCATGTGGACCTTTCGCGATGATGTACTTAATGGCAGCAAGTCGTGGCTGTTTTAGTTCATTTGTGACACACCGGCGCCATCATTGTTTCGTTTTATGCCCGTCCGTGCAGTGGTCGTGAGGCTCGGATGTCTCTTGGCTGCTTGACGCACTTAAGGCGACAGCATCCTGGTTGTCCCATCATGGTAGTAGGCGACTTTAACGCGCCTCACATTACGTGGGGTTATGCTTATTGCAGTACACGTGGCGTAAGTGTGCACGATACATTTATAAATGCAAACATTATGCTTCTTAATGATGTATCAGTGCCCACTCGTCGGTGTGATCACCCTGACGCGTTGCCTCATTCACCGGACTTATCTTGGTGGATAGGTGGCATTGTGATCTCCTGAGCCCATGTAAACCGAGGTGAGTCGGGGGTAGCGACCACCACCCAACTCACCTGGGTTTACATTCGGACAGAATCCGCCGTCTTCGCCGGCCTTGTTGGGATCAATACAGGGCCTGGTTGGCATCAATTGGGATCAATACAGGGTGATTTCAGAAAACACGATCTCTCGCTCTGTTTCAGACCCTTAGGATTGCATAAGTGCGGCATTAGCTTAGGCGACAATTATGTTGTGGGTGGATGAATCACGACCTGCTCCCGATTTGCAGCTTCTGCATCTATGGGCACCTCACCGTCAAGCAGAAGTCACGTCAAAATGTGACCCTACAGCAAGTGCCATTAGGTTGGAAGCCCAACGCCTTCAAGCCGCAGCTCGACGCCATAAATGCCACCTGGAACGTCGTCGTTGGATTGACTGGCACTCCTCACTTGGGCCTTCGGCGTCTAATGCCTTTATATGGCGCACTTTCCAAGCAATGGAACGCGATCGGCGGCTTCCTGACCCTGCAGCCTGCGCCCTATAATCCTCTGACCAGACTCCAGCCATATTCGCCGACACCGTCACCCACACATTCTTTCCTGCGTTATACATGGCTCCCCCTCCATTCACGGCTAAGAACTGCCTGCCAGCGAATGTAGGTATGTTTTCTACACTTACCGAAGTACAGGGTATACAGGCTGATTCACTATGGCCGAATCCTTCTCTGCAATAGACCTATCGAAACCAAGCAAAGCACCGGGACCAGATGGCATACTTAATGAACTTTACAAAAACACGCAAAGCAAGGTTCTACTTGTCTTGTTGAAGGTCATAAACAAATCTTGGGCTAATGAAACCATTCCCGACTCTTGGCGGCATGCAGAAATGGTTGCCATTCTTAAACCAGGAAAACCTCCAAGAAATATCACACAGATGCGTCCGATAGCTCTCACGTCAACACTGGGAACATTGACAGAGCATATGCTATCGACACACATTACGTGATGGCTCGAGAGATACTCCTGGTATCATCCTGGCCAAATTGGGTTCCGTCCGCATCAGGGAACTGAAGATGACCTTGCCTACCTCTCATTCAAGGTTCTCGTTGGAGGTCGATCTCGAAAGATCGCACCATTCTGTCTATGGACATCTGTAAA